TTTTAATAATTGAAAGTGGCAAAGTTTAAAGATATTGTGACAGTGCTCTGGTAAAAACTAGTTTGCAGCTTGTTGTTACCAAGTGGCTCAGAGGAGAAAAATGTGCTAAGTGCTTTCATTGCTTTTTCCACACAGACTCATGATAGTAAAGAACACCTGGCAATGATGGAAAGAATACTGGGGCCTCTGCCCACTCACATGATCAAGAAATCCAGGTATGCTCATTGTACAAGTGCTAAGTTGCCTGATATTTTTTCTTACAAGGGAAATTGCGAAGTTGCCGTTGTAAGCTGTGAGTTCTTGCAGATCAACAGAGATTCATAGGCAACCTTAATTATTTGACAGTAGTCCTCTTTTCTCATTTTGGTATGAATTGTCAGCCTCTTGAACTGTAACTTGGGTATGGATATTTCTAACTCTTTAAAGCTAAGTTTGGCATGGTCACCACAACAGTATTAGACATAAATTTTTTCTTTAAACTCTCAGAATGAAGAACATGTTGTCGTCACAATATTTATTGCGAGGAAGAAGAGGGTCCTTGCTTGCTCATACAGCTGTCATTCTCTTTTACTGCCCCTCCATATCCCTCAGACATGTGCTTCAGTGATCTTTTTCACTTCCTCAAAGATAACTCCTTGCAGCAGGAGTTTCTCACTTCCAGGGCAAGGAAAAGGAGCCAGCACAGGGTTCTCCCTGACCCCTCTATGTCCAAAGTTCTGGGATTTGATGGTTCATTTTCTTTCTTACGTAAGCTGTCCTCTTGCCAGCTCATGTAGATAATTCTGTAACTCATGTTAGAGTAGAATTCCAATAATTCTGGGTTGGATAATGTATGTGTTTGTTACGACTGTCCAGTTGATTATAGTGCATTTTGAAAACCAGGAAATAGCTTGGAAAGCAGCAATTGCAATAGGTTCAAGTAATTAAAAAAAATAGCTACTGTGTTCTAATTATTGTGGCAGCAGTAATAAAAACCCAGCAGATCTCTGTGAGTAAATGCACACTAAAAAAAAATGTTAGCTCCCAGATGCAGAGATACATGCAGGAGCACTTAATGGTGTTTTAAAGCTTCTTGGAAAAGCATCTGCTTGCTGTGTGCAGTGACACCAACTTGCTGTTACTCCCCTTGTCCTGCAGGAAACATTATTTTCACCATGACCAGTTGGACTGGGATGAGCACAGCTCTGCGGGCCGGTATGTCAGGAGACGCTGTAAGCCTCTGAAGGTAGGAGCAGCATTTTTATTGCTCTGCTGGACTGCAGTTCTGAAAGCTCTCTCTAAAATACCTCCTGCTTTTTTTCTTTTCAGGAATTCATGCATTGCCAAGACACAGATCATCAAAGTCTGTTTGACCTTGTTCGCAGAATGCTGGAATATGACCCAGCCAAAAGAATTACTCTTGATGAAGCTTTGCAGCATCCTTTTTTTGATCCATTAAATAAATAAATTCAAAGATCTTCTATGCTTCTTCAAGGAGATTTCCTAGACTGTGTCAGTCAGTCAGCAGAGGTTGCATGAAACTTTTGTAAGCTTTAAATTATTTTGTACAGTTAAGTCTGTAAATAATTACATATGTTTTGTATAACTGTTATGTTTACCTTGTTGAGCAGTTGTAGTCTTATGAGTATCAAAGTGAAAAATAAAAGTGATTTTCATTTTTGAAGGCCTGCACCTCTCCTTTTACAGATGACGCTAGTGCACCCTCTGACTGTAGGTGAGGAGTCTGAGCTAGCTGAAAGAGTTCTGGAAACGTTCCCTAAAACTTCCTTTTGTTAGTCTAAAGGAAAGATCCAGCTAGTTATTCTGTATGTAACAGTTCAATGGCATGTTGAAACACGCTTGGAAACAGTGTATACCCTAAGTAGGTAGCTTTTGTGGGTCACCTTTTTCCCAGTTTTTCTGTTACATGGTGTGCCTGCTAATTAACTCTTGGAAACTTGTCTGATGCCTTCAGTTTCATGTATTCATAGCTAATTCTTTTAGTTAAGATCTGTAAAGTAATATTGAAAATTTCCTATTTTCAGTATTGTTCCTAGTCATTAAAGATGAACATTTTCATAAGTTTTTAGACTGTACATTGAGACTGTACAGGATGGAGGTGGCCGGGTTCTCAATTGTGGTTCCTGAACTCTGGTACTGATTTGAGAAGAAAATGGTGCAACTTTCCTAGAGCCATTAATATACTCTGGTAGTTTTGGGGTTTCCACATCTATAAGATGATGGTTTTCACTCCAACTCCCTTAATCCATTTGACACTCTATGGGTGGCTTGCTGAGTAGTGGGAAGGGAGCCTTCCATGGAAAAGTTCATTCTGACTGTAATAAGCAAGTTTTGGCTATTTATTTTAATCTTGACTTTACTGCACAAGCCTTTCTTCAAAGGAAGGAAGCTAAATTGTTTTGCCTCCACAGGAGCCCGACTCCAGGTTTTGTGCTTGCTGAGTTAGCCCTAATACACAGTAAGGTTTTCAGCTGATGTCGAGGAGGCTTCATTTGCAAGAGGCTCCAGACGTGCATATCTGAGCTGGGAGTAGAATAGAGCTAGGCCAGGCTTTGAAAGCTTATCTTCTGTTACTAGTGCCACCTCCTGGGCTTGATTGCAGCTCATCACAGCCACCTCCTTTCCTTGGATGTTGGTGTTGATGACGTTGTTTCTGCTTGGTGTGACAGAAAATGTAACAGTCTGTGCCATGCAGGTCCGCTCGGTGGGGCTGAGCAGGAGGAGAGTAAATTCCTTCTCCCCACAGCACTTTCCATCCCACAGCCACAGAGGCAAAGCAAGGACTTGGCTGAGTGTATCAGCTGAGCAATGCAAATCAAAGGCAGATGGGGGAGAAAAGTTTATATGCTGCTATAACAATAAAACTGTAACCATAAAACAGTTCTATGGAAATTAGGGAAAGATGGTGTGCTCTTGCTTACAGAGTGCTTCTAGCTGTTGATGTAGGTACTGAAATTTGTTGTGCTTGGTAAAGGAGATACAGCTTAGCTCTGTCATAAAGCTATCTTTAAATTGACTTTTCTTCCAGTAAATTTAAAAGCACTGTTAGGATTAATGTAGCACCTGCAGCAAGGTGCCAAGAGCTTTTGCAGACCTTGCAGTATGTACACAAGTGTTGGTTTGCAGGCACACACACGAGCCAAGGCCCCTGGGCTCCCCAGGGAAGCTGTGTGGGGCTCTGGGCAGCACCCTGGGGCAGGGTCTGGTGCTGCAGGGCTGCCCTCGGTGCTTCTGTCTTTAGTAGGGGGTGGATTTTTATATGCACACACCACCACACCCCTTTGTCATCTTCATACTTGAAGTTGGCAATCTTTGCATGTTTGGATCAGCTATAGCTGTTAAATAAATAGAAGAGCATTCCCATCTATTTCTGCACTTCAGATTTTCAGGTATTGTACTTGCACAATATGGTTTTTGACTGGGTCAGCCAGGCAGACCAGACTAACAGTGTGCATTTCCATAGTGCAGCAGCCACACTTTTTAACTAAACAAAGAGGACAAGAAAGAATAAAATTTTAAGTGGACAGCCCAGGCTTCATCACTGAAGTGCAGTGTGGGATCTAGGGCTCCAGAAGCTGAGGGAAGAGTTGAGCTCAGGGCTAAACTGGATGGGAAATGAGTGGATTGCTGGGGCAGGAACTCATTTGCTGCAGGAGTGATCAGCCCTGCCTGTTCCTTCAGTGGGCATCAGGGCTGCCTGGAGGGCTCGGCTCACACAGGACAAGATGCTTTGCACCCGAGCATCTCCCCAAAATGATGGCACTGTGTGTGTTCTACTGCTCTCATGGAGCTTGTAAGGAAAGTCTTGTCATGCTCATACAAAGGAGGGGGTGAAAAGGAGGTAAGAAAGAGGGTTTCACAGAAACACGGAGTTTTATCTTCAGGATCTGTAAGAAAGCAGGAACTGGTTGTCAGCACATGCTATGGATTTACCTGCTTTAACTGCTTTGGAAATAGCTACAAGAAGCTTGTAGCCTTCTGTGTGTGTGTTTTATTAACAAACTTAATTAGAATCTGACGTTGGTAACGTTACTGGCATTGTAGCATTTCCTAACTCTGTCCTAGGTTTCAATCATCTATTCTAGAATTAAGAATTATTGCTCGAAGGGCAGATGTCTGTGTCCAGGGGGCAAAGGGTACACTGGAGTTTTTATACCATGTGCTTAGAATATGGGCAAGCATAAAGTTGCAGGAGGATGTTTTATAGGTGGGTTGTGATGCTCTGTGTAAGAGTAAGGAGGAGGGATGACAATGTGGGTGCTCGGAGTTTATGTGTGAGCAGTTTTCTCTCGTTCAAAAGCTCACGAAAGAGAATGGAACACTCCACTGAGATAAGAGCGAGTTACAGTGCATGGTGGGGCTCCTCTCGAGCAGATCGCGGTGCTGACGGGCTGTAGGGCAGAAGGCACAAAGCTCCCGGCCGGGTGACACCTCTCGCCGGTCGCACGCTCCGGGGCAGCCGGGGCCGGGCGCAGCCGCCGCCCGCCCGCTCTCCCGGCGGGGAGAACCCGCTGGAGGGCGCCCGGCCCGCGCCCGCTGCTCCCGCCGCGGGCAGCGCCGCTACCGGCCCCGGCGCGGGGAGCGGAGCGGAGCGGGTCCGGCCCGCCGGCAGCCTGCGCTCCGGAGCGGCTCTCGCTGCGCCCCGCCCGTGCAGCGCGGCCGGGACCCCGAGGGGCGCGGGGATGGGGCCGGGGGGAGCGGTCCCCGCGGGGGGCCGGGCAGCGGGGGTGGGATCTGCTCCGCGTAATCCCCCACGGAGTGCGGCGGGCCGCGCTCGGAGCATCCCCCCTTCCCCAGCGCTGGGGGAGGCGGCGCGGGAGCCGCCACCCCCCGCTTCCTCCGTTTAAGACCCGGGCTGGCGGGGCTAGCGCAGGAGAGCGGCCGCTCCGCAGCTCCGGCCCCACGCCCGCGGCGCGCACGGGGCGGCGCTGGATGCGCCGGCGGCGGGAGGCGAGCGGCAGCCGAGCGGGACCCCGCGCAGCGGCGCGGAGCGCGGCGCGATGAGCGCGGGCAGCGGCAGCGGCGCCGCCGGCACCGCCACCTCCGCGCTGTGCCTGCTGCTCTCGCTCACCGCCGTGGCCGTGTGCCTGCTGCTGGGCGCCAAGACGGCCGAGCTGCAGGGCCGGCTGGCCGCGCTGGAGGAGCGGGGCGCCGCCGGGCACGGGCCGCTGCTGGACGCGCTGCAGCCCCGCGTGGAGCAGCTGTTCCGCGAGGTGAGTGAGGGGCGGCTCCGCGGCCCCGCTCCGCCGCGGGGTTCGCTCCGTGTGAGGGTCGGGGAAGGCGCTCCGGTCCCGCTCCGCCGCGGGGCTCGCTCCCTGTGTCACCGGCTCCTCATCCTCTGTGAGAAAACTTACTCCCTTCTACCAAACTTTCCGCTTTTTGCTGCCGTTCCCATGAATCAGGCGTAGGGCGAGGCGTGGTAGATCCCACCTTGATTAGCCCCAGGTGAAGGGCCGGCAGTCGAAGGTTAGAGGACATGCGACTTTCCCCCTTATTCTATTCACTGACACAGGTAACCCGAGTGTTTTAACTATTTGTCTTGGGATTTAATGGACCATAATTTCCTTGTTAGAAATTATGAACATGATCCCCGCTATCTGGACTCTCTGTCACAGACTATTGTGGTCTGGCAGTGCAGAACTGATTTATGGCGGGCAGAGGAGACCCGCCACTTGTTACTTCACTTTCAGTCCTGGGGTTTTCTGAAATTATTCAATAAATATTTCTGTGCTGAACAAATCCGCCCACTTGGAGAACTATTATCCACACTGGTGCCCTTCTCAGTGTCTAACTGAACCAAATTTCTGGGAGAAGTTACACTTTATCCCAGGGTTATCTTTTTCCCGATTCTGGTGTTTAGGTTTGGGGCTTTTTACAGGCAAGAGGGACATGAAGGGCTCCATCACTCATAGCAAATGCTTGAGGATCCCGCTCTTGGTTTGCTGGATTTGTATAAACAGTAGTTCGTAAAGTTCAGCAAGATTCAACACGGCTTGTGGGGCTGCTGAAGGGCACCCCTGAGTGATCAGTTCTGACATCTGGGGAAGGTTTTACACTGGAATTTTATTAATGGCCTGACTGCGGTGCAAAACAAGCGTTAAAATCATGACAGCCATGAAGCCTCAATCATGCAAAAATGTGTTTGTGTGTGGAGCTCCGGGAAAGCTCTGGGGCTGTGAGCAGGGATGGAGGCAGTGCTGGGGGCATGGGGAGACAATTCCTCATGCTGTGTGTTGCTGTTGGAGCTAGGGTGAGGCTATTGCTGGCACCACCACAGCATGTTCTTTTGCCTGGGAACTTGGTTGCATTGATGTGCCCCGATAAAAGTGAAATGTTAAAATATTTTTGTGAAAACCCTGAATACCAGAGCAGGGGGGTGCCTGTGAGGCGTAGTCACAGCCTCTAGTTAATGTCTGTTCTCCAGGCAGGAATTAGCCTGCCGGTTGTGGCAGTGGTTCTGTTCCAATTACCCCAATAAATGTGCTTAGCAATGGGAATGGTTTCTGTGGCACTGCCTAAGATCATGTGCAACCTCTTGCTGAGATTTAGTTAAGTGTGGAAAGCTTGTTTTGTACTGGGAATGCTCAGATGGAGTTTGTACAGGGGAAAATAAAGCAAAACCACATAATTGGGTTTCTAATGGAAGAGTGAGCTTGTTGAAACATTAAGTATGACCAAACTCTTGTCAATGCTAAAGCAAATTTTGAATCAAGCAACAAATTTGATGCATCCATAGTAGTAATTGCACTATCTATTAATGGTCATTTTAAATGGACCTCTTAATTTATGGTAAAGTTTCAGAAAGTGTTTCTTGCCCAAACTCTGTTACATAAGACCTCTCACTTGTCAAGCAACTGCTGCCCTTTCTGTGCTTGAGAGTTTCTGGGGAGTGAGAGAGTATTTCCATCATCGTGAACATCAGCTGATGCCTGGGGTCAGTTTTTTGTTAAATTCTGTGTTGATCCTCCTTTGAAGTTTACCACAGTATTTCAGAAGTGAAACCAAAGCTCCATACGCTCTGTGTGCGTGACCCAGCATCCTTTGTTCTCTGCCACGACCCAAAAAGCTTCATCCATGTACCAGTGGAGGGGTTTGCTGGCATAATTTATGGCAGAGCTGTGCAGAGAGAGCAGCAAATAGAACACCAACACACAGGCTCTGCTCCTTTTAGTGCTGTTGAGATGTTTGGCAAGTAAAAGAGGATAGGAAATAATATAGGAAGGGTAAGTGTGTAGTTAAGGTAATGAAAGCCAATTTGGACAAGAAGGATTTAGTTGCTGGTTCTGCGACAGGCATCCATGTAACTCTGGAGAAATTGCTGATTTGGCTGTGGCAGGACCTTGCCCTGCCCTTGGCTTGTCCCGTTAGTGGGATGTGCTGCAGCTCCTGCTTTGATGCCCTCTGAAACATTGCCAACAGCACGGTCCAGCCGTGGCAGCATCTCCACTTGCTCCGTGTCAAAAGCCCTGGCTCCAAGTGTGTAATTTTCACACTGGAGGGAAAATATTAACAGGAGGATTATGGAAACATCCAGTTGTTGTAAACAAAGCTGAACCATTTTGTTCACAAAGGATTTATTGTCCGCAGTGTCCAGATTAATCAGTTTCATGACAACAACAATTCAATGGGAGAACAGAGGACTCGCTCCAGGATTCAGATCTCCTCTGCTGCTCCCAGTGATGCCTGCTGAACCAAAAATGTGGGAGAGCTTGTTTTCATTTCCTCGAGCATCTTCATCATCCAAATTACTTTGAAAGTAAACAGATAGAACTTGAGCAACTCTGTAACATTTAGACTGCAGGTGCCTGTCAGAAAAATCTCCTTAGATGTTTTTTTTGCCACATTTTCTCAAGGAAAGTGTTTTTCAGAAGGCAGCTGGATTGTTCTGGTATTTATACTTCCCGTAGGACAACTTCTCTGTCAGGTGCTATGAAACTGTGTTGATACTTTCAGGACCTCTTAGTGTCACATCCAAGCAGATAGAGGAAGCATAGGATTTCAACAACAGATAAAACTATTTAATCCTCAGAATAAAAAGAAAATAACCTAATTCACAGGAAGCCTAATTCCTGAATAGTCCACAGTGTTCAAATATTTGAAAAGGGACTGGGTCATCAGTTGTACAATATGAAGTCTTAACACCCTAAACTGAAAAAGTACTTTGAATTTTCTGTCTTTGAAATGTAGGGACTCCAGTTATCAGATTATTGGTTTATCTTTTGACAAGTACTTTAGGTAGGACAGGGCATTCCTGGAGGACTGAGAGAGTGAAGATTGTGGGTGAAGATGAGCTGTTCCCACCCTTGCTGGGCTGTCCCAGGCAGGGAGTATGCCTGAGCTAATGCAGTGTACCTGTCATCAGGCTCATTAACTTGGGCTTGGCAGTGGGCTAAATGCAGGCACGAACAGTCTGGCTGGCTTAGGGAGCAGCCAGAGTGTGCACACATCTGCCTGCAATATGCCACGTAGACACTGCTCTAGTTTCATGAATTTTTATGTGTTCTAGTTACCCCATTGATGAGTTTTTCACTTTGGGGATGGAAACACTGGGCTCTGGGTAGGCCTGAAGGTGGGTGAGCACTCCAGTCTTGACTGTCCTTTACCTCATCCCTCTGCTAAAGAAACCTCTAACACTCCACAGAGCATGGATTTTAAGCACAAAATCAACCAAATCAGGTCAAGATTGAACATAGGACTTGTAAGGGAGCTCAGGATGAATCCTGCCAATGGGTCTTCATTCAAGGGGCTTTGGGATGTGCAGGAGTGTCTGCCTGCTCCCTGTGGGGAAGGCACTTGCTCAGAAACATTTCATATTTCCGCGCTACTGTGGCATGGGACATTAAACCATTACCCCTCCCTGGATGGTTGGATGTTGGCATGCATGCACAGCGTTCAGGTGTGGTGCACTCTCTAAAGGGCTCTTTTCATCCCTCCAAACAGAAACTCGGCGAGGGCCTGGCGAAGCTGCGCACGGCGCGGGAGGCGCCCCCGGACTGCGTGTGCCCCCCAGGTAGGTGCAGGTACAGCCCAGCCCGGGGCCACCCACCCCCTGAGCCCCTCTCTCCCGTTTTACACGCTCCTTCCATGGAGGGAAATGTGTTAAGAAGTGTTTTTCCCCAGCCGAAGCGCTCCAGCGTCTCCCAGTGCCTTGCTTTGGCCTGTTTGCAGATCAAGGAGTTTGAGGTTTGGACAAAAGCGATGTTTGGCTATAAGAATAAAAGAGGGAAGAACTTGACTGGGTTGTGAGCCCTGGGTGTTGGGCCAAAACAATTTAGAAGTAGTAACAAAATCACTGGGGCTTAATGCAAGTGTGATAATTAAAAGCTGCAGCCTTTCTGCCTTTTCGGAGGGCAGGATTTCTTGTGCTGTAGGAAAGCTGTCACCGATTGTTTAAATTTCCTCCCAGAGTTTAATGAACTTCTAAAACCGTCAAAACTTCCTGTTCTGCTGTGGAAGTGCATGCTCCTTGGAAACAATAAACAGCTTAGATTAGTTTGTAAAGGAACCTCATTTACAGAAATGTTCTGTGAAGTGCTCTGCTGTCACACTGAAGGGTGCGAGTGGCTCTGAGCTGGGGCGCTTCGAGCCTTTATTTTCTTTTTTCTTTTCACAAAAGTAGTGAAAGATGGGTGAAAGATGTGCAGTGCTTTGATGCGGGAGAATTCACAGTGTTACAAGGACTTGCAAGGAGCAGAGAGTTCCATTCTAGTTTTAAATAAAATAAACAGTAAATGCTACATGGGGATGGCTGAATAGGCAACGGGGCAGGGTCAATTTTCCCTGCCACCCTGGTTACAAGTCCTACCGAAAAACACAGTGTTAGTCCATACTCGCAGGACAAAAAAAAAAAAAAAGCCTTTTTTTTCCTGTGAGATTATGTTTAATCTCAGAAACATTTCACTAATGATGCTCTTAAACGTACTCGCTGCTTTTCTGGTGGGAGGCTCCCCGTGTGCCTCACTGCCTGGTAACAAAACCCACCAGCTGAGAAACAAATCCTGCTTATTTTCCGCTCTTTGCAAAGTGGTCAAATCAGGTTTCTCTCTTGTGGTGCACAGACCCAACAAGTCCACCAGCCTCATGGGGCTCTGTGGCTGTGTCTTTCTGTAGTCTGGACAAACAGGGCGCTGCTGGTGCCCTTAAGTGGTCAAGAGGCTTTTCCTTTGCTCCTCGGAAAGCAATTGGGATTGAAGAGGCTCCTTTTGTCCGGGAAAGTCCCAGTTCTGTTCCGGGTCACTGAGCCGCTGGTTGCTGTGTTTGGGAGATGGGGGAAGAGAGGAAGGGGAAGGATTTCCCACGTGCTGCTGAGATGCTCGTTGCAGTCATTAGGAACGAGACAAAGCGATTTGTGAGCCGAGGGAAGGAGAGGTGATTCCTGGTGGGTAGGAAACGTCCCATCGGTGGCTGCTCCTGGCCACCACTGCAGGGAGCTGACTGGGGATGTGCTGCTGGACGGTCCTGAAGACTTTTGGCTGGTTTTGAGCAAATCAAAGACATCTTCAGCCGTGTTTCATTCTTTTTCTCCTGACAAAGGCTGAAATGCCTTCTGCTCTGTAGTTAAAGAGCTTGGGCTGGAAACACCTGAGAGCCTGTGGCCCCCACTGGCATTCACTGCTGAGCTACACCAAACCAACAGCTGAGCTTCAATTTGCCTCTGCACTGAAAAAGCAGCCCCAGGTGAAAGGAAAATTTCCTTGTGGAGGGGATGGGGAGATGCTGCCAGCCCCACTCCTGCTTCCCATGGGCAGCTGGTGGGTATCCTGAGCACCTGGGCTGGGCGGCTTTCCTCTGCCAATAACCCTGCTAGGCTTAAGAACTCCTCATTGGGGCTGGGTTTAGAGCCAGCTGGGGAGGGAGAGCGTCAGGAGGATGCTCTGTGATTGCCATGCAGGCATGCCCCCTCCCTCGGTGCCTCTTTATAAAAATCACAGCACCGGCTGCCCCACAGAGCCACCGTAGGCAGCGCAGGAGACAACGCAGGCTCGGGGCTGGCCGTGGCAGCTGGGCTCGCTTTGAACAAGCCCTGAAATTTCCTAGAAATGAGTCAGTTTGGGGTTTGTTTGCACTTGAGGGGGTGGCGGTTGTTTTTAGGGCACTGTTTTGATACAATTGACTCGCTACACATTCAAAGAAGTTTTGGAGCAAGATGACAACGACCCACGTAAAAGTTAAATGAGGGTCAAGTTATTCTAACTACAGAAATCCTGAATCTCTGCTTATGAAACCAAGACAAAAGACAAACACCATTCCCTCCTGGAAGAACCCCCGACCCAAACGGACCCGTTGTGTGCTTTGTGCTCCTGTTGGAGGTGCCCTGTTTGGCTGTAGGGCGCAGCTGGGTTGGCTCTAGGACGGGACCCTGGGGCTTTCCGCGGCTGCGGGGGCCGCTGGCCGGCAGAGGGGGCCCGGCTGTTTCACCAGGGCCACGGAGAGATCGCGATCGGCGAAAGAAACCATAGAAAGACTAAAAATCATCCAGCCCAACTGCCCTGCAGTGAGCGGGGACATCTCCAGCTAGATCAGGTTTCTTGGATCCCTATCCAGCCTGAACTTGGGAGTAATAACAATTAAAAAAAAAAAAAAGATAATTAAAAGAATATTTTTTTTAAAGCTTTAAAAAAATTTTTCTGTCTCCAATGCTGAGCATGCTGTAAAAAGTTGCCTCTGCAGTTGCTCTGAGCATCTGTGCACTGCTCTGAGTTGACTTGTTTTGCATTATTCATTCGAGCAAGGCAATGCGGGGGAGGATGACAACAACTTGGTGTCACTTTGAGCCCTTTGTGGTTTGGGCATTTTTGTGGCTGAGGGAGAGGAGAGCATCCTTGAGGGGGTTGACGAGTGTGGGTCAGGCTCGGGAAGGCTGTGACAGCCTGGTGACCCCACTCTGGGGCCAGACACGGCCTGTGAGTCCCCTCCGCTATTCGGGATGGGGTGGCAGCGGTTGGATGCTGCAGGCACTGGGCAGGGCCAGGACAGCCTGTCCCCATATGTTGTCCTGCAGGGAAACAGCAGCTTGATATTGTGTTATTGCCATTCCCTAAGCCAGGCCTGTAATGCTTTGCAGAGAGGCCCCTCGTCCCCTCAGCTCTTTCTCTGGTGGGATCCTCACAAAGTCTTTGCTGCAGGATGAAACGCAGCAGGTGCAGGAGCACTGGTGTAGATGGCATTTGGGACAGCCTGCTGATGAGCACAGGAGGTGGGTTGAAGGCAGGACTGAAACTTCACACTGGTAAACAATTTTTTTATCAGTTGTGTGGGCTCTGGCTGCTTTCTCACATATATGTTTTTTGAGGATTATTTTTTATTTTTCCCACCTTGTAATTTTAGCAGTCCTTTAAAATATCAGGTGCCAAAGACTCTTGTTAAAGGTGGTATTTGCTGTGCCAAAACTCTTCAAGCTCTGTGAGAACAGGTCCCTAGAGAGTTCAAGGTGCTGGATGCACCGTGCTAGAGCCTGAGAGCAAATGTTTCCTTAAGTCCAGCAAAAAAGGGCTTAAACCAGCCCCAGCCCACAGAGCATGCCTTGCCCAGCAGCTGGTCCTTGCTGAACTGTGGATTGAGGGTGTGAAGAGCTCCAGCTCTGCTGGTTGGCTCTTGCACTGCGTATTTCTATGTATGCATTGTGTTTCCATGTGCCTTTATGTTTAACAGCACCTCTGGAGCCTTAACTCCAAATCTCCTGATGAATTTCCCTGTTTTCATCTCGAGTTCCCGCTGGGATTGTGTCGTATGCTTTTGAACGTATGGATTTATTACAAAACAGCGTTAAATGTTCAGTGTAGTAATCTGATGTTCCAGCTAATATGTGACAAATATTTCCCAATAATGGCTTGGCAGCAGCAGGAGTGCAGTGGTGCTGCAGCCGGCAGGACGTGGATTGCTCCATTTCTCTGCAATTCAAACCATCTGTACTGGGGGAGCCGAGCATTTCAAACCCTCTCCACCTCTGCAGACTCAGCAGCTCCACAGGCTCTCTTGCTTAGATTGTTTATAGAATTTAAAATTTTTTTATTATTAAGTTTTTAATATTTACCCTAACTTTATACCCAGAGATCAGCGTTCTCCAGCTGGTCCTGGGAGGCTGGTGTGACATATTTTTGTGATTTCCAGGGACTTGAAATATCTGATTTTTGCTGGTGTAAATGTTGCCTTCAAGTGTCACTCGCTATCAGCCTTCTCCCCGTGTTGTCTCCGCAGGTAATTAGCACAACAGAATTTCCCTAATTGCTGCAGATCAAGGGGGAGAGGGCTCTCCTGGCTTTGTAGTCCTGACAAATGGCAGATGTTTTCCAGGAGGCCAAATGGGATGCACCCAGCCCTGCTAATTCTGGCTCTTTGTTTTGTTCTCTCCATGATAGCAGCTCTGTTATTGCATCTTCAGGGTCTGGGCCTGAGTGCCACATTTCTGAGTCCTTCAGGGTAGTTTAACAGACACTGAAAAATATCAAATATAAGCAAGTATCAATTTATTTTTTCTTAAATTAGCAGTGATCTCTGCTTTTCTGGGTTGCTTTGCATCTACTGACCTTAAACCTCTGAGCTATTCCTTACACTTACCTAAGATACCCTTTTCTGCTTACTGAAGCCATGAAAACTCAGTATTTTTCTGTAATTTCTATGATATAGAGTGAGACAAAGAGCTTTACAAAATATTCAATTTTTAAAATGTCTTCTGAACCCCCTTTGCCTCGGTTTTCTGTACCCTGCCAGTCTCTTCACTTCAGCAGGGTTTGCTTTCTCCATCTGCCTTTGCCCACAGGAGGCTGGGACATCGGAATCATGGATTAGTGTAAACAGGATTTTTTTTTTTGTACTAAACTTACAAATGCAATCAGAATTCTCTCCTGCACAGAAAAGGCTGTGCCAGGATTTCAAAAAATGAGCCAGAAGCCAAGTGTTAAAGCATCTAAATAACAAAGAACAACTGGCTGGGAAGGACTTGTGGCAAATGGTGCCATTTAAATGCAGGCAATTTCTTTCTGTTTCACGTGTTTTCAAATCTTACTCCTT